GTTGATATTTCTGTTACAGATACTTTGTCTATGGAACTTATATATATTAGAATCCAGGGCTCTCCTGATAAAAATTTCTAACCATCCAACATTCTCTTATGAGTTAAGAAAATCACTGGTTCTCAACTCAGGAAATTAGGTCTGCCAGGGAAATTCTGGGTGTCTGAACCACTTTGGTTGCCCTCATGGCTGGGGTACAGTGCTGGATGGGAGGTGGCTGGAACCAGTTATGCAGGTGTGCCTGGCGCCTCACAGACACCAGACAGGTGTTACCAGGCAGCCCCCCGAGTCAGAGGGAGCAGGCTGTCCCCAACCTCAATCCTTGTCTTCTCATATAAATGAATTTATAAAAGAGGTCTTGATTGTGTTGTGTTTAGTGAATTTATTAAAACATTAAAGCATATGAATTTATTTAAAAAATTTAAAGCATGTACTTTTATTAACACAGCAAAGCAAGCAGGTCTATGCATCTGGCTTATGAAGCACAGAAGGGCTCTCAGCTAATCTGAAGAGCAAGTGGGGTGGGGGTTTCTGCCTTATATGCCCTCCTATCTATCAGTATTTTTTTTAAATTCCCTGCTAGTTATCCTGGTACAGATTAACTATGAAGATCCTTTTCTTTGTTATGGCTTTTCCACAATGTATAGGAAGTACCTGGCAATTAAATTCCCATTGCTGGCTTTCTGCTTATACTGTTCTTTCCACCTCCTGTCTGCTTTGCACTAAGTAGTCTCTCATCCGTCCTCATCCACTCCCCTTTTCCTTCCCTCTCCTCTCCTGCATTCTGTTGTGAGAAGAGGTTTTTAACTGTTTGTTCTCAAGATAAGGGCCTGGTATAAGTGGCCTGCAAAACTTTTGGCTTTGTTTAATTTTCCTGCCTCAGTTTCCCTATTCCATTTGTCCTAGAATTTTCCTAGCTTTTTATTGTTTTATAACACAAAGAGTCCTGCACAACAACAAATTGATCCTTCCCAAATATCACTGGACCCCTGTTGAGATACTCTGAGCTAAATGAATTTATATACTTCTGTTTTATAGCTGGGAATCAGAGGAATTTGGCCTGGTGGGTCCAAAATTGGGAAAACAAGACTGTCATGATGGTGATAAAAGAAAACAAGGGAGAAAAAAGCAAATTTTACTTACAGTACTATGTGACAATTTTTCACCATTAACAAAACATACAAACTTTTAATTTTGTAATAATTTAGGTTTATAGGAAGGTGCAAAGATGGTAGAGAAATGTCTGTATACCCTTGATTCAGTTTTCCCCAACCTACATGACAATATTACAATATCATAACTGGGAAGTTGACATAGACACCATGTGTGTATATAATTCTTTGTCAGCTTATCACATGTGTAGATTCATGTAACCACCACTGCAATCAAGAAACAGACTATTCCATCACAAAGGTCTCCCTCATGTTGCTCTGTATAGTCAAACCTGCCACTCTGCTCCTACCATAGCTAACCCCCAGCAACCACTAATCTGTTCACTGTGTCTTTAATTTGGTCATTTTGAGAATGTTACTTAAACGAATCACACAGTATTTTGAGATTCACTTAGTTTTTCACATAGCATAATAACCCTGAGATCGATTCAAGTTGCTTTGTGTATCAGTAGTCTCTTCATTTGTATTGCTATATTCTGTGATATGGATGTACCTGAGTTTGTTAACCATTACCTTTTATAGGACATTTTGGTTATTTCCAGTTTTTGAATATTGGAAATAAAGAATCTGTTAACAATGTGTACAGGTTTTTGCATGAACTTAAGTTTTCATCTCATAGGATAAATGCTCAGGAGTGCAATTGCTGAGTGGTATGTTAAGTGTATGGCTAGTTGTTTAAGAAACTGGCAGACAGTTTTCCAAGGTGGCTGTACCATTTTACATTTCTATAGTGATGTGTGTGGGATCTTATTTCCTTGCATCCTTGTCATCATTTGATATTATGTACCGCCCCTCCCCCCCCCCCTTTTAGCTAATCTAATAAGTGAGTAGTGATAGCTCACTGTGGTCTTAATTTGCTTTTCTCTAATGGCTGGTAATGTAGAACATCTCCTCATGTGCTTATTTATTGCCTGTATATTCTTTTGAGAGATATTGCTTTATATCTTTTGCCTTTCTAATTGGATTGTTTTCTTATTGTTGACTTTTGAGTGTTCTTTATATAATCCGGACATGATTCCTTTATCTTTTTTATCCAGGTTTATACTTGTCTTTTCATTCTCTTAATAGTCTTTCACAGAGGAAGTGCTTTTAATTTTTACGATATACAATTTATCAGGGTTTTTTTTGTTTTTGTTTTTTGTAGATCATGCTTTTGGTGTCATTTCCAAGAATTCTTCACCAAGCACTAGGCCTTGTATGACTTCTTCCAAAGTTTTATAGTTATACATTTAAATCTTTAATCCATTTTGAGTTAATTTTTGTATAATTCAGAATGTTTTTTGTTTTGTTTTTATTTTTGTCTGTGGTTATCTAATTTCTTCAGCATTATTTGTTGAAAAGCTATTTTACTCCATTTTATTGCTTTGGCACACTTATGAGAAATCAATTGGTTAGACTTGTTGGCTATTTTTGGGTTCTTTATCATTGATCTATATGTCTATCCCTCCACACAGTCTTGATTACTATAGCTGTATTAAAATCTTTCAATCAGGCATGTGATTCCTCCCACCTTATTTTCACAGTTCTTTTTCACAAGTGTTTAGCAATTGTATACTTTGCCTTTTCATATAAATTTAAAAATAATGTTGTCTATATTTACAAGAATCTTGCTGGGGTTTCTGTAGGAATCCCAATTCTAAATACAGGTTTATACATTAAACCTGTATATCAACTTGGGGAGAATTGACTTATATACTATGGTGAGTCTTTCATCCATGATCACAGTATGTCTCTTTCCTTTTATATCTTCTTTGATTCTTTTATCTGTATTGTGTGATTTTTCAGCATATAAATCTTATACATGTTTTGTTAGATTTACATCTACATATTTATATATATATCTATAAACCAGCCTTTATTTATATTTATATATCCATATTTTTTATTATTAGTGTTTATAAATGGCAGTGTATTTTTCATTTCAGCTTCCATATTGACAGCTTATAGAAATTCAGTGGATCTTTGTACATTGACATTGTATCTTGTTACCTTGCTGAATTTGCTTTTCATTTCTAGGAGAATTTTGTAGATTCCTGGGCATTTTCTATATAGAAAATCATGTCATCTGTAAATAAGATTGGATTTCTTTCTTTTTTTTTTTTTTTTTTCAGTCTGTATGCCTTTTATTTCCTTTTCTAGCTTATTGCATTGTCTAGAATTTCCAGTGCTACATTTAATTAAAGTGGTGGGATCAGATACGACCCATTTCCTAATCTTAAGGAAAAATGTTCACTCTTTCTCTAATATGTATGATGTTACCAGAAGGTTTTTTGTAGATGCTCATTATCAAGTTTAGGAAGTTCTTTTTTATTACTTGTTTTTTGAGAGGTACTGTCATGATGAGTGTTGAATTTTATTTATTTATTTATTTATTTTTAATCCTCATCCGAGGACATTTTTCCATTTTTTGTAAAGACAGAGTGGGAGGGAGAGAGAGGAAGAGAGAGAGAGGGAAACATCGATGTGAAAGGGACACATCGAGTGGCTGCCACCCGCACGACCAACCAGGGCTGGGGACAAACTGCAACCGAGGTACTTGCCCTTAGCGGGAACTGAACCCGGGCCTCTCCGGACCGCAGGTAGACGCTCTAACCGCTGAGCCAAACCGGCCAGGGCGAGTGTTGAATTTTATCAGATGCTTTTTTTACATCAATTGATAGAGCCTGTGATTTTTCCTCTTTAGCCTATTAATTTGGTGGATTATATTGATTGAGTCATGAATATTGAACCATCCTTGCATTCCTGCATAAACAGCACTTGGCCATGCTGCATAATTATTTTTATATATTGCTAAATTCTATTAGCTAATATTTTGTTAAGGATTTTTACATCCTTAATATACTCATGAGGGTTATCAGCCTGGAGTTTTCTTTTTTCTTTTACATACTGTTGTTATCTTATTTTTGTATCTTTTCTATATTCTTTTTTAATATATATGTATATGTCATTGATGCAAGCAGTGGTCTATTTGTAATATGAAAGAAGTTAATAACTTTGCAATAAAACATTAAACTTAGTCTAAAATATTGCTTTATAATAAGACCACTTTTAAATAAACGTTTACACTTCTAAGTATTTTCCCCAGTAAATGTTATCAAAAATATTTTTGCATCACGCATCATCAAAAATTATCAGAACTCTATTTTTAGCTAAATAAGATTGACTTAAAATAACTTATATCGATATATTTTTAGTTGAGGAGAACTTTGTACCAAGTAGCTTAGTAAAATCTTAGGAAATATTTAAATAAATTTTAAGTGAAAGTAGTTATTTAAGGTCAGTTTCTTATTTATAATGCAGGCAGATTTTGTTGATCTTTTCCTCTTAATAAAGAATTATGGTATGGATTCATGTTTAAGCTTCATAGTATGTTGAATGTATCTAGTATATTTATAATGAGTAAGATATATGCTTTATGCATCCATGCATAAATATATGCGTATAGAGTTAAGGGAGGGGGGGCAGTAACTTTAAAAAAAATCACTTCTTGCCTAAAATATGTTCATGAGGAAAACTCAGTTAGATGCCTAAAACTATCTGTTCGTTGTGGATTTTTAAATCTACTTAATAAGTGACAATTTAAATTAAGGTATAAATCATGACTATACAGTATTGACATTAACAAAAACTATCTGAAATTATTATTTTTGAACATCCATGACATTATCTTGATTGTCTAAAATGAACATAACATTGTTTATACCATCAATTTTCTTATAGCTGCATGAAATAAAATGTATTTTATAATATATTTTGATGAATGTTTCTACAAGCAGTTCTTAGAGAAGACATAGTTTCTCTTATGTCAACTTTTTTTTTAATTAACAGGATTCAAGCCAAAACTCGAGAATTTAGAGAGCGACAAGCTCGGGAACGTGACTATGCTGAAATTCAAGATTTTCATCGGACATTTGGCTGTGATGATGAGTTGATGTATGGGGGAATTTCTTCCTATGAGGGTTCCATGGCTCTCAATTCCAGACCCCAGAGCCCAAGAGAAGGACATATGATGGATTCTTTGTATGCCCAAGTAAAGAAGTCACGGAATTCCAAACCTTCACCTGTAGACAGGTAAGCTCCGGGAGCAATCAGGATATTGCTTCCAAATCAACTTTGATATAGTTTTTGACAAGGGAGTAGAATGTTCATCAGTTCCTAAATCAGGACTGCCTCTTATTAATGATGTTTAAAAAGCCATTGTGTTTAAAAGTACTGAATTTACACAAATTGAAGCCTAGTGGAAAGAGCCGTAGAGGTTTTGATAGCTTTTCCAGTGATTCCAACATATTTTGTCTTGTTGTTAAAATGGTTTTAGATCAGAGAACTAGCCCTTAGTTTATAACCCAAATAAAAAGCAAACTTGATATTATGGTTCTCCTACTTAAGTTGTATTTCCTTTTACTACTAGGAGAGCCTCTAGCTGTGGTAATTAAATAGATGGGAACTGACATGGTTTGTTCTAATTTTGATTTATTTAGAAGGGCCACTGTTTTTGGTAACATGATTTTTAAGTGATTAAAGAATTAGTGAATGAGCTGTATAGTATAGCCAGTTTTCAACTTGTCCATAGCCACAGGTGCAGGTCTAATTATATATCAGTGTAGTGCAAAGTAGTGCAACACTGACTGTATATTAATGGCTATATATTTATATCAAATTTTGACTGGAACAGTTTAAACACAGATCTTTTTCAACCCTTTGATTTATATAGTCAAACACCCTTAATATATGTATTCAAACATATAAAGTTTAGTTCACAAAGCAAATAATACTCATTTATTTTTATTTGAAACATATGCATATGCATGCTACTGTCGTAAATGTGTGCTAATCCCATCACATCTTATAATGGTTTTATATCATCATTAGGGGAGCTGGGCTTTGAACAGGTTTCACTTAAAACTAGCGGTTCTCAAGCTTTAGCATGCAGCAGAATCGTTTGAAGGATTTCTTTAAACACAGATTGGTTAACCCTCCCCAGATTTTGATAACAGTGGGTCTGGAGTACAGCCTCAGAATTTGCATTTCTAATAAATTTTTACATCTGATGCTGGTACAACTGGTCTACAATACCCCTGTAAAACCAGAGATATACTGCAATGATATCATCTATAGTCCTCATGTGTTATTTGACTGCTACATTTTGCAAGCAGTCTATTTTAGTTATTTACTGCCAACCGTTTTAAATAGAGGTTTGCAAAGGCAGCAGGTAACCCTCAGCAAACACATGAGGAAGCATTTTAAAGACTAGCAAAGGAAAAGCAGATCTTAAGGTAAAATTCTGGTCAGTTATGTTTTCTGTTGTTTCCTTTTTTGTTGGGTTTCAGGTTTTTTATTGTTTTGTGAAAATCTGATGTTGACTGTAATGAATGATTAATGTAAGTTAATATAGGAGGCTTATGGTTTATTTATACTCCTTCCATGTGATCACCTAGAAAGTTTACAGTACTCACCAACTAACACAGATGTATCAGGATTCAAAGACTAAGGTGGCCGTGACATTTTCTTTAAAAACTTCTTATTAGGCTTTTGCGCTTGTAGAAAGTCAAGTAGCATCTGAAGGCATGAATGTCCATTTAAAGTTGTTTTCTTTGGGGAAAGGGCAGCAGAATCCCTGACACTGCCAGTTAGTAATTTTTGGAAAAACTAAAAGAAAATTAATGTGTTATTGATCATTGATGAAAAAAAACATTAATCATTTTTAGCACATTCCACGTCTAGTTTGAAAGTCTAAAAAGCTCAGAAGTTCCACCTCACATGACAGATGGTAGTCAGGAGGGATCTTTCCAGCTCCTGAGGACCAGAAACTGTTGCTTTTAACCCCAGTTTAAACCCTGGTACCTTACAAGAATCTTAATCTCCCCTGAAGGTTTGTGAATTTTCAAAAGGACTCACCTGCTTAGAACCCCATCTGCTCCTGGGCTCCAGCATTCCTGCCTGCATTTCTACTCTGCACTATGCTGATATCACCTTTAAATTCAGCCTTCTCACTAATTTCCATCAAAAACCCCTCAGCAAAACATTCCAGAGGAGACTTGTGTCAGGGGAAAGTCATGGGAATGAGTCACAACAAGTAGTGAATAGTTCAAAATCATATCACAGACATCACTGGATTCAGAAGCCCTCTCAGGCACAGCTAGGATGCTACTTGGTGGAGATTGTTCAGTTCTATGCATTTGTGCCCCCAAAGGGTGTCTGGGGTGTTTGGACTAAAGCATTTCTTTTCTTTTCCTTTATTTTATTTTTTCCATCACTGTTTATCCCCCCTATACCTTCTTCCATCTCCATCCATCCCCGTCTCCCTCCCACAATCACCTGGAGCATTTCTAAGATACTTCCAACTCAAGGGAGAGATCATTTTTTTAAGGGATCAGAGAAACATGTTTGTTTTTGTTGTTTTCTTTGCAGAGAGTAAGATGCCCATTAAACAGTGATATTACCAAGTCAAAAAGTTGGGACTTATCGCACCTGTAAAGTACTTCTTCACCAACTGGGAATTGAATATGAATTTGGCTTAGAAATAAAGGCATCACCTCTGTTGTCTTTTTGTGTCAGAGAGAAAACTGTAGAAAAGTGTTCCTTAGACTTGAGTAGTGTAGAGACTTTTAAAAGGAAAGACAGTCTTTTGATACTGCAGTATAGAATTAAATTGTTTTGACTATAATGTTGCTTAAATGTATAAAAATAAAGTAGGACTAAACTTCTGTTTACAGCCATTGTACAACCAGAAAACCAAACATCTTTACAAATTAAATACAAACAAAACAGTAAAACCATTACTTTAAAATGAACAACATTAATTTAATATGGCTGCGGGGTGGCAGGTTCCTTTGAGATTGTTTGCCTGAATCCACAAGCCAGGGCTGACTCAGTTCACCCTCTATTTTTCTCAGTCAGGTCTCTGCAGTTCTTTTGAAGATCTGTATGCAGTGATCTTTGGCTTAAATATGCCTCATCAATGCATCATTTATGCAGCAAGTTCATCTTGCTTCTGTTTTCATTAATAGATGTGAAAGTGAATAGACAGTGAAAGAAGCATTTCTTGGTGCCTTCATATTGGTAAACTAAAATTCAGACAGTGAAACAACACACTTATAAGATGACCTACTATGTGCTTCTGTTAACTCTTGAAAAAATAATCATTCAACTAGAAACATAAAACTTGAAGCTCCTTAGAGAGTATATCTTGTATGAAGACTATACCCAATAAAGACATTACTATCAACTTCCTAAATTTCACCCAAACATGCAATTGGTGTTTGATGAACTTTACTATTCAAATTTTTGGATTTCATGGGAGTATAGGCAGTCACTTGACAATCTGAAGCGTAGCCTGCATTTGTTCTGGGATTTTCCTTGTTCAGCAAGAAAGCAGTATTCTGAAATTTATTACTTAATCTTTGATGGATCTTATAGTCAGAAATGTGGATGTGGTAGGTCTACATGGAAATAGACAGTGATAATGTATTAAATACTGTGAATTTAATGTTGAAATGGGACATTTTCTCAATTTCTATGTATTATTTATAAAATGCTTTTTATAGGATAGCTTCATATTATGTCTAGAAATATTTCCGTGCCTGTTTACTCTGAGTGACTCATGAACTATTATCTGACTATATATTTTGGTCACAGTGTCATTGTTACTACTCTTTATTCATGTCCTTGGTAACATTTTGATTTTTCCAAGAGAAGCTGACCCTACCCTTCCATTGTATATGAATAACGAGGCTTAAACTCACAAAAATGTTGGTGTACTTATTTTTTATCTTGCTTATAACCAGACTCCTCAAAGATTTAGCTATTGTAAATGATTCATACTTCTGTATTTCTTTGACAGGAATGCATTTCCTATTTTATTATTGTATCTTCAGCTGGCGAGAACACTTTAGAGTCTGATAACAGTGCTCTCTGTATTCCTGCCTTTCTCCTTCACTGTGGAAGACACTTCTAGAGGTCTGCCTAATACCTATTCTCTCCTCTTCCTTACTTAATAGAATCCTAATTTTGTTCAGGCTGTCAGTGTGCCCAGCTAAAACTTTCAATGTCTCAGGTACCCCTATAGTAAGAGGTGGCCATGTAACATTGTTCTGTCTAATGAGATAGAAGTGGGTCTAGGACGGGACTTCCTGCAAAGCTAGTTTTTCCTGATTAAAAGAATTTGACTTTGCTTTTTCCCTTTGGCATTTTTCCTTCTCCCATCCTGATGGGTGCTCCAAGATGGAGTTCATCTAACAACACTGAGGCTGTGGGCCACATGGAGCAAGAGAGAAACAGTGTGGTCACTTGAGCAGCTGTTCCAGTTCTGGCCTGCCCAGCCTCTATTCTTCATTATTTGTGGAACTGAGCCCCTTACTTTTTTTTTAAATTATGTTTTTATTGATTTCAGAGAGAAGAGGGGAGAGGGAAAGAGAGATGGAAACATCAATGAGAGAGAAACATCAATCAGCTGCGTGCTATACGCCCCCCACTGGGAATCGAGCCTGCAACCTAGGCACGTGCCCTGATTGGGAATCGAAATGGCAACCTCCTGTTGCATGGGATGAAGCTCAACCAACTGAGCCACACCAGCTGGGCCAGAGTCCCTTACTTTTTTTTTTTTTTTTTTCATCCTCGCCTGAGGACATTTTTGCATTTATCTTCAGATAGAGCAGGAGGGAGAGAGGGAGGAAAAAAGAGAGAAGCATCAACATGAGAGAGACACATAGAGTGGTTGCCACCCACAAAACCCCAAACGGGGCCGGGGACAAACCTCAATTGAGGCATGTACCCTTATCAGGAACCAAACCCAGGCCTCTCTGGTCCACGGGCCAACACTCTAACCACTGAGCCAAACCAGCCAGGGCCAGAATCCCTTACTTTTTAAGTCACCCTTCGTTAGCTTTGTTTCATGGATCCAATACCAGTCTCAGTGTAGTGAATAATGCACACAGGAGCTCAAAGGGATTCATCATTTTCAGATAAAAAATTGCCTACATACTGGAGAACTATGCCCTGGTCAAAACATTTCCACAGTATTTTATAAAATTAAGTACTGGACAAAATTCTCCACTGTCCTGAATTAGCTCTTC